TGAGCTGCCTGCAAATCTGCTCTCTTCTGTCTCCTCTCTTTATATCGCTCTCTCTCTCCACTCTCTCTCTGCCACCCATATGGGCCTTGTAATACATGACAGCTGAAGCAGGGTTTCGAAAATTTAATTTGAGGTGTGATAAAACAGCACATATCTATAAATTGTGTGGCAGAATGCCTGCCTATCTGGATGGTTTAAATCTCTTTCTTCTCTCTCACATGTGCAGCATATCAAACACAGAATGCCCTGGCTGTCTGCACCTACGGAAGATCTACAAATAGACTTAATAAGGAGGAGTCTTGCCAAAGCAATGACAAAGAATGCAATAATAATAAAACTGCAAACAGAGTTAGTCAAGAGTGAAAAGGGATCAATTTGCAATAGTAGGTACACCTTCTTTATCAGATGGTACGCCTTTGATGTGAAAATAGAAATGCCTGTGCATTAGTGAGAAGCTGCAAGAAATACAGTTGGTGTTATAAGTGTGAAAAGTGCAAACACACTAACACATTTACACAAGCACCTCTTGAGCTGTGTTGCTAGAAGTGCTATCTTACAGATTCAAGGAATACAAACATTAGAGATACCAGTAACTGTTTTTTGTTCTGACCATCCTTTACATCCTTTATATAGTGTCTATATATATATAGAGAAAATAGGAATTTGCTGTAACATCTCTACGAAAAAAGACTCTTACACAGTCATGCAAGAGCTAACATGGCGGAAACCCCCCTCGGCTTGTATTATTCTTGCAATGGCACCACAAAACTTTCCAAATAAATCCCTCCTGGAGTGGATCAACAGCGTGGCAGCCACGCGGCAGGAATGTACAGTAAGACATGGGACTGCTTTGGCTACATCAGAAACATCATAATGAGCAATAATCAAATAAATATGTGAAAAATACCAGAGGGACTCAATCAAGGGATTCCCCTTTACTGCTGTGCATCAAAACCAGAGAGCTAGGATGGGAGAAATCTTTGACACTCGGAGTTGTGGGAACAAATAAGGAAACGCTTAAATTTTCCCACATCATGTCGCCCATCCTGTCTCTTCACAACCCCCCCCAACCCCACAAATCTCTTGTCTTCTCACGCCGTAGAACTCTTTTCCGTGTTTCCAGCCCTGTCAACCCCATCGGTTCCCCACCTCTGTCATCCTCCTCTCTTTTCTTCCTTCGACGTCCCTCCCACCCGCTGGTCCTGACGCCTGAGCTGAGCCCCTTGAAGAGTCCTGGTAATAAACTGTGGTGCCTGAGCTCTTCATTGCTGTCTCGCCCTCCCCACCCCTCATCCCTGAGCGGCGATACATCTGCCGTTAAAGTAAGCCCGGTCCAAAAGGCCCAGCCCCTCTCCTCTGTACAGTACAAGCACGTCAGTCTTTAATGTTCAAATGTCTTCCCCCTATTCTCTCTCTTTCTCTTTCCCCCCCACTCTCCTTCTTGCTGCTCAAGTCCTTTGTGTACAGTGCGCTATGCTCAGTGTGGCAGCACTGTGCCAGAAAAACCCACACAAACACACACATGTATGCACACACATACATGGTCACAGACACACAGCTGGGCCCCAGCTGCATACAAAGACTGGGGTTTGGAAATCAATGAAGGAGAAAGAAGAAAAGGGGAAAGGAGTTTAAATAAATTGGCACTTGAAAAAAGAAGAAAAATGAGAGAGAGAGAGAGAGAGAGAGAGAGAGAGAGAGAGAGAGAGAGAGAGGGGGGGGGGGGCGAGGGAACAGGGATAGAGAAAGCTCTCTTAAAAGGCACATCAACTCAACAACAGAGTGAGGTTCTTTGTTATGGACTAACAAAACATAACACGCAAGGCAACGGGACTGTATATGTTTGTGAGGGTGCTCAAGAAACACAGCTCTACATCTGATTTAGGAGTGAGGGTTTGAATGAGTCTGATGGGTTGTGCGGATGTCATTCTGGCGAAGGAGCATGCTGAGTCTGAGGGCAGGGGAAAGCCCGAGCATAACACTGCCAGAAGACTTTATATAAATGACAGCTCTTTTCAAAGTGCCACTGCTAAGAAGCTAACAGTACTGCACCAACGAGATGGCTAAATTCAAATGCTGATATTAAAGCGTTGCTTTCCTCCAAAATCTGATCTACCCTTCAATTATTTTCATCAGTTACTTTATAAATTAAAGCAACAACAAAAATAAATCATGATGTGCTTTTTACCCGCCATTGTTCTTTAGGCTGAGCTAAAAAGTATTTAGATTACTCAGAATACTGGATACATTTCATCGTTATCTTTGTCAAAAGAGAAAAAAAAGCAAATGACACCTCACTGTCAAAAAAAGGTAGCTTTTACAAACTGCGCATAGGGCCTGAGGGAAGGTGCTGAACCTCCGGCAAAAAGTTCTCGGCTAATGTACTCATGCTCTTTACAACTTAAATATCTAACTCACAGCTTAAACATAGGCCATCAGTTCAAATGTTCTCTTTTTGTCTCAGGACTGTTTTTAATCTTAAGGGAATGAGGAGTAGTAATTTCATCATGTTGCTTTAGATTGGTTAACATTGACAGCTTTATTGGGAGAGACAGAGACATAATCAATAGGCGCCTTGGAGAGAGAAGAAAAGTCAGCCTATGTGTTTTTCTCTTTTCTTCTGGTTTTGGAAAAGATCCCTAAATCGCTGTCTTATGAGTTGGGCCTGCCAAATTCATTTGGTTTTATCAAGGACCTTTAACTCTCTTCTCACACAGCACAGCACATTCCAAGTGCTACATGGAGGCTTAACGCAAACATTTCTACGAATGAGGATGCACGAGCATTTACCGCTTAGACAAACACTGACGCATGTGTGATATAGAGATATGATATGTATAAGCATGCAATCAGCGCAAACATGCAAGCAGATCCACAAGCATTTTCATGCAAGTGGGAAAAAATAGCAAAAATTAATATCCCTAGTAGTGTTGTCATTTCAAATGTAATTTAAAACACCCTCACTGGTACAACTGTCTTTAATTTGCCTTGAGTTGATGTGTATAGCTCCTCTGAGGTCACTGCAGGAATAAAAGGAACTGGACAGATAAGTGACAGGTCCTTGTCAGTAAGTGTGTCTTTTTACTGATAGCTCTCACAGCAATGTGATGATGCTGATTTGTCAAACAGAGCACATTCGGTCGACAAACTGCTATCTGACAGTCAAAAGTGAGAGTGTGCGTGTGTGTACCAGAGGGGATCGCACCCTGGTGACACTCTGCTGAGCTTCACACCTCTCTGTATAAAATGAGGAAACACTCAAAGCAAAGTAATAAACGATATGTGTGATCAGGCTCCTTACAGATGCTGTGATGGCAAATATGTTTAGAGCGGTTGTGTGTCGGATAAGAGACAAACTCTATTTTGCATGGCTTGTAATAGCTTTTGAGAGCAGATGGAGGCTAAGGACTTTAACCAACATTGTTTGTGGTATTGTATATGTTTGAAGACAAAACCCCTCAGTGACCATCTTATTCTGAGTATTTTCTGGATTTATAACTTTGTGTTTGGAATAATGGTTGGGTATGTTTGTTTTGACTCAAATCTTCATTTACCAAATAACTCTGCATAAATTAAAGAATAAGCAGAAAAAGCGTATATGCATCTTTAATGAAGCCCATTAGTATTAACTAGTACAGAAACATGTCTACTTAGGTTTCAGTGTATATTTAAATTTGTTTTACAAGTTTAATTTGAGCTCAGAGAAGTGTTCACTGTTTTTTAGGGAAGTAAGATTCGATTTAGTCCATATCAGCAAGATGGAAATACAGGAAATACAAATATTTATTAACATGCACGTGTGTGTTTCCTCACTTTTGTATTCAAGTTCTGACTGAGACAAAAATTGCTCAACCTGATGCATGAAGAACAACATCTGAACAAACTCTAAATTCAGCATGATGACAAGAAGTTCCCGTACTGTGGAGTGACAACAAACATTATCTGAAGATTTAAGGTCAACTAAGGATTTCCACTAATCTTGATAAGGTGATAAGCATGTTACTTTCCAATATAAACATGAATTTAACCTTTTATTGAGTCATATGTTAGATAACTCAAATGAGCTGTGATGACTTGAAGGAAGACTAATCTTAAACATGTTAAAAAGATGAATTTACTTATATGCACATTGTTGGCTTTTTTTTTTTAATACATGTATTTGAAAACAAACTAGAAGGCTGAACTAAGTTATGATAACAAATGATTGCATATTGAGAATCAACATTTTAATGAGCCAGCTATGTACATTTTTGTCATGTGATTTAGAACTGCCACAGGTTACTTAATTATACAACGGCCTTGATTTGGAAAGTTTCCACCAAAACCTCTTTATATTTCTATTTTTGATGCCCTCCATTTTATGTTTAGATTTCTTATATTAGACTTGCAAAGTTTGGTATTTAGTTAAAAGGAGACTCGAGAAAGTACCATCATGCTTTCAGCATAATCCGCAGCAAAGCCTTTAAGTCAAGAGATGTGAGAGGAAACGCGTTTTAGTACAGTAAGAGCTGACCTTAAAATTACATTTTTGACAAAATATTTCTTAAGTTTAAAAAACAAAGTTTTATTCTAACTTCACTGGAAGGACTGTGGATCCGTCATTTGCTGCTTGAGAAATAACTTTCATAACCTTTATATTAGGTACAAAAGGGGACCGGAGGTTTTACAATTCGCTTGTACCCACAGGTTTTGAAACTAGAGGTTTCACTTCTCATCTATACGATATTACACAGGTTAAATTCACAGGTAGGCTAGAATAATCAGACATGACGATGAGCTAATCTATAAAAAAAAAATTGCTCTGAAAAGCAATCAATAGACGTGAACTCAAAACTTGTGTCTGATATATAACTATGCTATATAAATGTGCAGAGGAAACAAAGTTTGAAGTCCTTCAACAAACGCGTTTTGGCATGCGTGCCTCGGTCCGCTGCAGCAACATCTGCCCGCATCACTTCACCAACTTGTTCAAACTTTTAAAAGCTCCGTGTTATTCTTACCTCGATTTCGCCTCGGGTTGGCTTGTTTCCTTCGTTTGCCCCTGCTTTCTTCTGTCATCATCACGCTTTATTTCGTCTCAAAAAGTTGTCCACGCAGCGCTACGAGCGTGTGTTTGTCCTGAGTGCCTGACTGAGAATGAATGGGGACGAGGCATCGCCTTCGGTCACAGCGGGAGACTCAGACCTTGACGGGAGTCCAAGCTGAAGCGACGAGCCGTGCACGAGGGGGAGTGATGTCACCGACAGAGGATGGCCTTGAGGTCAGTCTTGGCATCGTGGTCGATCACCTCCCTCATCTAAAATGCAATCAACAATGAAAAGACCTGCTCACATTAGGCTAGACACAGACTTTATTTTCCTGAATTCACTACCCTGCACTACCTCTTTAGAGAGGGTGAATATATCAACATGTTCCGCTTTTATCCATCTAGACATGTTCATGATTTCCCTCCAAAGATCTTATGTGTCTAACTTATCGTTTTTTGTGCATGCCTGGAGTTTAATTGAGAAACTATTGTAAGGTAAAATCGACAAGCAGAGATGTATCTATATCAGATATTAACTTTGACAGCTCTCTTCTTTTCTTAGGTTATTTTGATGATCGATTAAGCTTGTAATTGCTAACTTGTAAATCTGAACCCCTTCTGTGCTGCAGCGCAAACTTTTCTCACCCATGCAGAGCTCTACAAGTCTAAATTTGAAGCCGAAGGGCTTTCGATCGGGTGCGAATGGGGCTGTTAAATCCAGCAGCTCATCTTGCTACATTTCTTTCACCACAAAGAGAGATAATACCAACTGCAGGTTAATGAGAACAGGTAAATTCGCCCCCCCCTTTTTTTTTTTTTTTTTTTTTTACTCCTCTGCATTCCCCCTCCCCGTGATGTTTTATGGCTTGACTGTTATGCACCTCGCACCTGCGCTCAAGTACCCTGGAGTGGACCCCGTCCTGCGCCCCATTCACCCCTGGATGGCTGTAGGAAGTGGTGCATTGACAGTCCTTTGTGTTGCAACCTGGACGGTAATCTGTTTTGCAACTGAAAAAAACATCCGAAATAAAACTCTAACGCAGCGTTCAGGACCCCCACTTTGGCTTTCTTGTGCCCCCCCCCCCACCACCTCTTAGTAACTCTGCCAGATAATATAAGCGAGCCGGGTAGCTTTTTAACGGCGCTTCAAGTGTCCTGCTAGAGTCTGGGCGGAGTAAACAAACTGCATGTGTCACATAGTGAAACAGATTAGAGAAGTAAAAGACAGATTACGGATTTAGAAAAGAAACATAAGAGTTGAAAATCTGAATCTTGAGCCAATTCAATTAGACCCTATGATGCACTGTCAAAGGAAGAAGTTGGTATAAAACGTCAAGAAATCGTGCTTATGTCTCAGTGGAAGACGGACAATCCTGTGCATAACTTTACTCAGCTCTAGAGTCAAAACCATGACAAAAGCCTCATATAAATAAACCAATAAAATGGAAAACTTCATAACATAACTTTTCACCTTTCTGTGAAGCTAAAACTCAAAGTTAGTGTTACAACACTGCATGAGTTTAAAGTCAAAATTTAAGTTAGACACATTCTATACATGGTTTAAAACACATGCATATTTATTTCTTCTCCAATCACCACTGCTGTTTTTTTCCCCCTCTAAATGGATTCTGGAAGAGAAAGCATCCTGAAGGTGGGGAGGGAGTAGAGGGCCGGAGAAAAAGAGGGACAGAAGGGTCATCCTGGCTCTTTGTGGTGGGATGGATATTAGGCGAGGGAGGAGAAAAAGAGGGAGGATGGGAGCTGGGTGAGGAGGGGGCAATAAACTTTGCCACATATGAGGGTCACAGAGGTGCAGAGGTGCTTCAGGGGTCCTGGGAGCTGTTTTTTTAAAGTTCACATGCATCTATAGCATATCAGTATCCCAGGTTAAGTGGAAGCGTTTTTTTCATCCAGAATTTTTAATTGTTACATTGCAACCGGGCCGGGCCTGTTTTCTTTAAATGTATATTGATAGATTAGATTGCTACATACCTTTGTGACGTTTAACTTATCAGAAATTCTGTGCTCACTTTCAGATAATTTAGGTAAAATTGGTTTAGTTACTTCAAACCTGAAATTAATTTATTAAATACATCTCATTGTGCACTGTTTAAAATGTATCTCTGATTGGTGTATGGAATGATTGTGTGTAGTCTTATTCATTAAGTGCACAGTCTTATATGGTTTAATAGTTAAGAGTGTATATTTACGATGCAGCGGTTTGAGCGTTCTACTGTCTTGTTAAAACAACTAGACCTACTTCTACACACACACAGAAACACGCACACACACACACACACACACACACACACACACACACAAGGAGGAGCATGGAGGAAGCAGTCCCACTGGGGTTTTGTCCCCGACTGTGGTCTATGGGTTCAAAGCTTCTTGCATGGGGAGGAGAGCCCTTAAACAGCATATTAAGCAGGAGTTAATTATATGCCAACCTAAGTGACAAAGGAAAAGAAAAGCCTCCCTCTGAATGGCAAGACAAGAAAAGAGAGAAAAGTCATTATGCTGCCCACTTCTTTGCATTTGAAAAACTCAGTTCTTATTTTGGCATTTCCATTTGTAACTCTTTGGAAAAAAAGAGGTCATGTCAAAGAGAGACAACAACGAAATCTGTCTAACATTTTTACACCAGAGCCTAACTCAAACCCTAATTCTAAAACACATGCACGTATGCAATCTCTAAATTTGAAAGAGAGACAAAATAAACTTTGCAGTTGTTTAAACATGAGGCAATAATATTTTAAATGTGTCCCTTTTGAGGAAAAAAAAAATCTATTGAGGTCATAGTATTTTTTATCTAAACGTGTGTTTTTACCTAGAAGCCACATATTTCTTTTAGGGTTAGACCTCTGAATGTAGCCTTTGATAACAGCTATACATTAAGAATGTTTTGGTTCATCAAAAGGGTATCTACTTCAGATTTACATGGGCCAGGAGAAACTGTAGCATCTAAACCATCTTAACCATACACACATTTAAGAATACCCTCCCTGCAAAGTAAGCACCCTACTTGACCCTGATGTGGAGATGTAGATATTGTTTCCAGTCTGAAAATCTGGATATGCTAGAATTCAAATCAGTAGTCCGTCAGGAGCACTTCCCCTTGCCTTGGAGCAAATGAGTCAACTTTAGCATCAGTGCCAGGCTGTAGTGGCTGAGTCTACTGAGCGATGCCACAACACCACAATGCCAATGTAGTGTAAGTACACGGGGGCCCTGAATCTAAATGAGCTAACACTGGGAAAAGAAACGTGCAGAGATAGCAGTTTTTTTTAAATACCACATAAAAGTAACTAGTAACTTCAAGCTCATCAAACAGGCCAAACTAGCTGAATGTGAGCGTGAGCATTACGTAATTAACAGACGCCTCAGATAGATTTTATGCTATCGAGATATTTCAATGAGTATATTGTCACTTACCATAGGTGTTTTTAAATCTTCATGAAGTTTGAACGTTTGCTTTCACTCACTTTTAATTCCGATAAAAAAATAAAAGTAACCTACTTTAGCTAGAGGTTGCGCGTAACAATGAGAAGCAGTGTTGCTATAGTTACAATCAATCGTCACAGTTAGTGTATGCGGTGATATTCAGGCCTGACTGGGACTAAACGGAACACCGCAGATAATAATGATGATAACATCTCCATCGTGTCGTGGTGTAAATTAAATGTTTTGAATGTTTTAGTTGAAATTATTTACTATAAATCAATCGTCCATGTTTTTACAAAAAAAGTTTCCTATGGCATAATTTAGCTTTGGCGAAGTTATGGTTGAGTAAACCAGGGGTTTGTTGACCTGGCGGAGGGATACCTTATCGGGTCCTAAAACAGACCCGAAAGGTCAAAAGGTTATGTGTGTGTGTGTGTGTGTGTGTGTGTGTGTGTGTGTGTGTGTGTGAGAGAGAGAGAGAGAGAGAGAGAGAGAGAGAGAGAGAGAGAGAGAGGGGGAGACAGAGAGAGGGAAACACAAACTTCAGTTAGACTAAATGTGTGTCTTTTCCTTAATTTAGCGTCACTCAGGAAGGAAAATATCTGTAGCCTAATGCTGCTCATAACTCTCTTCCACACCACCAGATCCAATGTTAGGGCACTATTAGACATGACATCATTTTAAAGATTTACAAGTCCAAAATATTGGCAACAACTCCTGTAGCCTACAGAATAATATGAAACAGCATCATGGTCATTAACTTTTTTTTATGCATTCAGTTCCCACTGCCCTCTAATATTTAGCCTATTTTAAAGCAGAGATGTCATGTTGATAGTATTTTACGAGCAAGATTAGTTGTAGTTTTTCTTATGGCATTCCCGCAGCCCACAGTACCAGTCCCCACTGACCACATAGATCCCGTCCAGGCACTGATGTCACCAAGGGTAGCCATTTTTAATGCTAATCCATTTTTATACCGTGGCACAGCAGACATATCTAAATCATATTCAAAACGAAAGGGTTTTCCAATTAGGAAATCCATTTAATGTTTAGAATAAATGTCTCTAGCAATGCTAGTTGTTTGGATAAACAAATAATTAAGGGGTACAATGACGTTGTAGATCAAATATGCAGAATTTACTTTTACTGCTTATAGTGGTGACAAACTATGAAGAGAGTGAATTCATGTCATGCCATGGGTGTTTAAATGTAGTAAAGAATAGAAAAATACTATTGACATGAGGGCTTGTATTCAGGCTGTACTGCACTCTATTGGAGAAAATGAGTCATTGCATCAATCCACAAGGCACAGACATAGACTACATGAAATCCAGCAAAACAATCATTATACCCACATTTTTCAGCATTTTTGTAGTACTGATTTTCCATTTAACACAAAGCCACCTCTCTTTACAATGACAAACCAGCAAGGACATAGTAGACACACGTTCTGATTTCATCCCACTGAACATGTTTATTCATAAACTGGTAAAATAAAGCACATTTGTATAAAAATGTAGAAAATTGTACACAAAATATAACACTTGGCTTTTGTCTATTATAGTTAATGCTAGTATCATAGCTTTCTTTTGCTAAAGATGATATTCTTTTGCCAGCAAAAAAGACAGAATGAAGATGACAGTTACAAATAAACACACACACACACACACACACACACAGACACACACAGACACACACACACACACACACACACACACATGTAGAAGGCAACTTCCATAAAGTTCATTAATATAAAAGGATAACTTTGTACAAAACATTTCATACATTCCAAAGAACAGCACTATCAGTCAATGTTCATGCCCTTATTGCTGGTATTAGTGTTGTGTTAAAATAGACTATTTGTGCATCTTTTTCTCTATGTTTAAGGTGTCTTTGGTAGGTTGTACACTTTTTCCAAAATGGAGAAATGTTCATTCCTGCTAATGCTTAGTAAAATAAAGTGGCGCTACTATTTTGTTCTGAATAGTTACAAATAATGCTTGTTGAGTTTAAACTTTCTCTCATGAGTATTCCAATAATTATAAAAAAATACTGATGTATCATGATAACTATAAAATGAGGTACCTGTGAATAGTCACAGGAGCCTTTTCACACAGTGCTCTAATCAGTGCAAAGCCACAGTGTAAAATGGTTCACCTACCAAGAAACGCAGCCTTTTTTCCATATGATACAGCTGTATAGTTGCAAAAGAAGTACCTCAGTGTACACATAACCTAACATGCATTTTACTAAAGTGGTTGCGATTGATACAATTCCCACTTCTTGATCCCCTATCCTGAATAAGAAGAAATTTTCAAATAACTCCTCTTTGGAATTGGAACCAAATTGCAGAAGCACTGTACTATGAGTGTACCTGAATTTCTCATACAAAAGTTTCTGGCTTAATTCAAAATAGTCGTCATCTTCAGCTGCATAATGGAAGTGTTGTAGTTCTGGTGTTTTCTTAGCTAAGACGTGTGAATACAGTGATGTAGAGGGGTTGTTTGAGACATTATTTGTAATATCATATTTGAGTTTTATATATGATCCCCCTTGTGTGTACCTTTGAAAGAGCATGCCCTTTCTGCTTTGCAGTTTTAAACATCACTGGGAAAAAGTGTAGCTGCTTCAGGAACACCTGCAGTAAACATGTGGAGTGCAAACTCTCTGACTGTAAAAGCAATTACATCATAAATGTAATTTAAACAGCAAATATTCAAACACCAACAAGTCCTGAGTGTTTGTGTGCAAGCTATATTTGTTTTTGTGACTGCAGTGATGCATGTGTTGGAATTTGCCACTATGAAAATGTTTTTTGTTCATGACAATTGAAATTCCTAGCAATAGCTACAGATTCATATTTAGTAGCATTGATAAGTTATTTCTCAATCACTAAAAGCACTTTAGTCTTCACTCAGCTCTTCAGACAACCATCTTGTCAGAATATCGCTCTTCAGAATCCAAGCAGTCTAAAACAAGACAGGGGATGATGTATTCACTGTCTCATTGTCATATACAGAATATATCTAAAAGTTTATAAAACGTATTTACATGCATTCTCCTCTACTCCACTGCTTCTACAGCCCCATGTAACTGGAATGCCTGTTTGGAAAAGTTCAGTATCAGTTTCATATCAGGCATGTAGCTCTGGGTCTATAATAAGTACCAAGGCAGTGGATACTAAACAGCTGGGCGGTTGATCAGGCACCTTTGGTTTTAAGGTTTTGGGTGGGCAAGTCTTAAAATTTAAAACCTGTTATGTAAGTAGGTTAGTCTCAACCCATAACACCATATCATCATTCCTGCAACATGGGTATCCACCAGTGCCAAGAGACCCCTGGCCAGTTTCTCAATCTCGCAGGTTAATGTGATTGGTTTACATTTAAAGGCTTGTTGGGCAACATCCTAACAGAGTTACCCTAACTGACCTTTTTTGCAAAGTACCAGGAAAAATCACTAAAAGCGATAACCCATGGCTGGTTAACCTGGAGAGTGCACAAAGTATATTTAAACATTAAGAACTGTCCGAGGTCTGCACTTGATTATTAGTCTACCCAATGTTTTCCTAAGACAGCGTGTTCAGGTATTTATTTTCCCCAGCCAGTGAGGTAAGCATAGACGTCATGTCGCCCACAGCCATGTTAGACAGGCCAGAGCCTGCAGCTAGGCTGACAGAAGTTTGGGGGGTGGTGAGGCGGGATGAGGCTTGGGAGGAAGACCCTGGCTGACCCTGAAGGGGATTGACTGGGCTGAAAGAATCTGCATCATCAATGATGGAGGTGAAGTCTATGCGAGCATTGTCTAGGTCCAGGTTCTCTAAGGCATTGGACATGGGGCCAGATTCAGGATAAGGAGGCATGGAGACGGACTTTGTGCCACCCGTAGGGTCCAGGTTAGATGCCATATTGTGCTGCTGATTCAGACAAGGTCCTTTCTGTGGGTCCATGTGTTTCTCTAATTCCATGTTTATCTGACCCGAGTAGTACATGTTGTTGTTGTTATTGGAAGGAGAAAACATTTCATTATGCGTGTGCTGTGGATGCTGAACAGGAGGAAGTCGAATCCCTCGTCTTGGGCTGGAAGTGGAGTGGACAGGACTGAGGTGGGGTGGGCTGCCAAGGTAGACACTTCCAACCTGTGACAGGCTGTTCTGGCGGCTGAGAGGTTTCCTTCCCTGAGGAGGCCTTGGGACCACCATTTCCTGGCCATAACATGAACCTTGGAGACCTGTTAGTTGCTGGTCTTTAGGTGTCACAGAGCTGGGCCCTCTGGTGTGGGCTGGAGGGCTCATTACCAGGTTCTGGTTGGGATAGTTTTGATAGGGCTGGCTAGGGTATAGATTCTGGTTTTGGTGTTGTGGACTGTGCTGCATCATTGCAGACTGAGCACTTATATCCATATTATCAGATAATGGAGGCGGTTTAATGCCACTTGGCTGCTGCTGCTGTTGTTGTTGTTCTTGTTGTTGCTCCCACATGAGAGCTTGCTGAGACTGAACATAGTTTCTCACCATCATCTCCTTCACCTGCATCATTGGGGTTTCAGATCTCTGTCCATCTGAAAGCGCAGTGCCAGCACAGCCCAAGCTCAGGCCCCCTCCACTGGGGTAGGAGTTTGGGTTCCCTGGAAAGTCACAGCTGGGATTGTTAGAGTTCCTCATCATAACCTGGCCAGTCTGTTGCTGGTAACCCTGAGTCTGCTGGAGGAGCATTTGCTGCTGTTGGAGCTTAGCATTTTGACAGGCATCTCCACCTCCCATTCCAGAGTGAAATTGCTGCTCTGGCTTGATGATAAGTTTGTGGGTTCCATCAGGGCTGTTATAGAGGCTTGTCTGATTGCTGAAGTTGGCTTGTGTCTGATGAGGCAGCAGGCTAGGATCTGAATACTGCATTCCTCGAGGGTTCTGTAGAGCATGGCTGGAAGGTTGGATTTGGCTGTGGGTATCACTCCAAGGGCCTACAGCATCACCACCCTGGCCTAGGCTAGGGTAGTGAGGGCCTGAGGGACTAAGCTGGCAGGTGCTCATACTGTACTCAGCCTGTTGGAGAAGTGTATTTGATATGCCCTCTGAGTGAATTGGCCTTACTTGGCCTTGCGTATTTCCAACAGCCCTAGAAGTGACCCCTCCGCCCTGATTCTGGTAGTGCCCCTGCATGTAAGCTTGGTCTGGACAATTCAGAGAGTCATGGCTTGGGGATAGTTGGTTTGAAGCAGGACCTCCAGCTCCTCCAAGAATTTGATGCTGTTGCTGGTATCCCATGAAGCTCCTTTCTCCAGGGGGCATCATAATGGAACGATCCCTGGAATCAACAGAAGCTAAGTGGGGCTCCATACCCATAGCCTCCATCATTACATTCTCTGTAATGCTAGGTGGACGTGGTGAGTACATGTGGCGTGCAAGGCTGGTGTCGGAGCCCCGATGTTGCAGCGCATTCCTTCGGCTCATCAAGGCTACATTGTTAAGGCTATTGAAGCGCTTAGGCAGGGCTTGTGGATCTGCTGCAGACCGTACAGGGTCACTGGCTCTTCTGCTGGTGTTACCTGGAGCTTGGTGAGGGTAGATAACACCTGTGCCATACTCTGTGTTGGCACTGTGCCTTCGTGGACCACCTTGTTGAAGGAAGGGAGGCAGAGGCTGTCCCTGGTAATCACTCAGAACACCTCCTCTTCTGCCTGGTGTGCCCGTCTGCTCCGTCTTAGGTAAAGGTGTGGGAGGTGGTCCACCAGTTGCCGCAGCATATTTGGCCTTTAGGCTGTATTGCTGGGCAGGTGTTAAATTTGGTAGACCAGGCAATCCTCCTCCTCCTCCAGGACATGGAGCTCCTCTGCGATTGGTCTCAGGAGAAAGGGGGTCTCCCGCACTCTGCTCTGGACTGAGGAGGTGACATCCTCCCCCTGTTGTTCCTCCCATTTGTGAGACGTCACTGGAGCGCCGACTGGACAGATAAGGAGACACCATGGAGGAACGACGGCTGACAGTATATGCAGAGCTCAAGCTGCTGGTGCCACTTCCTCTCCTGTCATTAGAAGAGCAGCCAACTGATGTGCCGCCGCCTAACTCGTGATTGGACAGCTCCATCACTCGTCGATTTGAGAGGAGTGGAGAAGGTGCACACATTCCCAAATTCTCTCCAGGACCTAAAAATTAATATCCAAAAAGAGAAAATGACTTAGACTCAGTTCATCATAGTTAATTAAGAAGTCTCTTTGGAAAAAAAAAATCCCTGAATGTTTCATCAGTTAAAGTTGGGGTATGTTGTACAATTATTTCTTCATTTTAAGAATTAGCCTAACACAGAGTTCAGAATATTGTTTTTTTTCTTGCATCTCAAGAAATTAAATGTCATTATAGAGCAGGAATAAGTAACTTAAGCACAGAGGAAATTGTAGTTTAAATAAATTCTGCTATTATTTTAATTTCCAGAACTTACCAGGAAGTGCAGGTAGTTTGTTACTAGCACAACGACCAGGTGGGGTTGGCCTGCGGATTTGCTTCAGCTTGTCAATCTTCAGGTTTTCCAGCCTCTTCAAAGCCTGTGCTGACATTCCCATTGTTCCAACACTCCCTGGCTCTCCTCCTCCCCCTGCAACTCCATCTTCCAGTGCTGTGAGATCATCCAGACTGCCTGCTGCATTCAGGTTCATCTCCACCCCACTGTCGTTGTTGTTGGCACTCCCCAGTGGTGAACGTTCACTACTGCAAGATGATTGACCACCTGGGCTTGGCTGAGATTTCTGCAAGAAGTGTAGGTCAATTTTACTTGAAATTACAAAATCAGACATTAAATGATAAAAGATTGACATTTTGTGATTTTTAGGACAAAACACTATGTGGTGCTTTTTACATTGGAGCTACATTGGACCCATTGGACCCTTCAGGTCATACATAAAATGCACCACTCACCAAAGTGGACTCAGGAGCCAACAGTTTGCAGTCCTCCCTGCGTGTCTCTGATTTTTCCATCAACAATTCAGAATCTTGGCCTCCGGAGGTCATAGCTGAGCCTGGTGGTCGGGGTCCTGTGTCTCCACGGTGCTTCTTGGTGATGTGTGCTTCAGGGCCATGCACTGTCTTTACATGTTTCCGCAAAGAGCTTGGATCTGTGTACCGCTTCGTGCAGCCGGGGATCTTGCATACATAAGGTTTCTGTAAAGCAAAAAGCATCTGTCATTACACAGTATCTTTTTGTTTGGAAATAATAAGCTTACATTGGAGACTTAATGTAGACTACTAAGGTTAAGTTCAAACTTAAGAATTTGATAACTTTTTAGTATTGTGAACATTAATTTTAATGTGGGAACCATTAAGTCCTTCTGATTCTGAGACAGTACCTCATTGGAGTGAGTTCGGTTCTGGTGCTTGGCCCGGTCTGAAGCATTTGAGAAGGCCTTGTTGCAGCCTTCATGTTCACACACATAAGGTTTCTCTCCTGTGTGAGAGCGCAGGTGAGTCTTCAAATTCTCCAGGCGAGAGTAGGCCTTATTACAGCCTTCAAACTAAAACAGAAATAAACAAAGCAGATTTAATAGCAACTCCCAGATACCATTACGTGAGAAACTTCAATATTACAGTACATCCAGTGTAGTTGTAAAAACATGATAAAGAATTACTAAGAATTATTTTTGTATTTCTACTTGCATCAATTATTTAAACAGCATCTGATCCCTAGAATATAAATGTGCCCTTTTTTTTAAATGTCTGACCAAACCCAAAGCAGAACAATAGAAGCACACCTTAGTAAAGCACACATTAGTAAACAGTGGACTTATTTTCTGTTGTAGCAAGCAATGATGACTGGAAAATAAATGAAATGTGAGACAATGTCAAAGACAGCTCTCATGCTTTTCATGTGTAAGTTATGTTTGCAGGTTTAAAAAAACCTACATGGTGGAGACAAAAACAGAGATAGAAACAAAGTACAGAGAAAGTAAAGATACACTCACGGTGCACTTGTGTGGCTTCTCTCCTGTGTGTCTGCGCATATGAACCACCAGCATGTACTGTGCTTTGAACGGCCTCTGCTCTCGAGAGCACTCCTGCCAGTGACAAACAAACTCCTTCTTTTCTCCATGGATATGCTCATTGTTGATGTGCTGTTAATTAAACAGATAAATAGAGAGAATCAGAAATTTTCATGTTATTTTATATCTCCATTGTATAATATCTACCAGTAGAACTATAGCTTACGTGAACCAGCTGGTCTTGGGTGTCAAATTCTTTGCTGCAGCTCTCCCAGTGGCAATTGGTTTCATAGATGGCCTCTTGCTCCTGCTTCCCGTCCTCCTTGTCCAAGTCATCTCTGCCATCCAGTAAACCCAAGAGAGGGTCCTAACAAAATGTAGGGGCACAGACCATAAATTCATGGCTCACATATGACATGGGTTTACAAATGGTTAACAAAAAGGAAAAAAAACAGAAACTAATATGTAAATGTGAAAAACTGAAAAATACCTCTGAAAATTAGACAAGTTTTAATCTTTTTTTTACCTGAGTGCCAGTGGAAGAAGGACTGGCCACATCTCCTTCTGACCTCTCCTCCAGGCTCTTCACATTCATTCCATCCATTACACCTCCAAGTCCAGGCTCTGTCTTCAGCTACAATATAAAACAAACACCTTATCAAACCTCTGAGCCATTGATGCCCATATGATAGACAAACTCTTTAATTCTCTCTATTATGAAACTCAATGAGTTCTCTTCCACCTCCCATTGTCTTACAGCTGTCAGAAGCAGAGGGTGTGTGGACGCAGAATATTTCTCTGATTGCTTTGAAAGTGAATGGGAGAGCCATCTTACATGTCCATGCTTGGGTGGGGCGTGCAGCCGAGGATTGTGGGGAGGTAAGCGTGAAGCTTGGCATGGACCTGGTGTGGGTCCACCCATAGGCGTCCCCCCACCGCCATACATGGAACCTTGTTGCCTGGATTGAAAGTTTATATTGCTCGAATAGCCAAGGGATGGGCTGTGGAGTGACAGAAAAGAAAGCATTAACACGATTGAAGAGATTAAAAGTACCCATTGAGGTATTCAAAACATTCAAAATTAATACTGCCAGTGACTGATTCCCCAAAATATCAAAATGTGTTATGAAATGATGACATAATATAGGTAGATAGATAGATAGATAGATAGATAGATAGATAGGTAGATACTTTATTGGTCCTGAGGGAAATTCAATATATTTACAATATAACATAGAGCAGATAATATAACTTTTTTGCCAACTTTTCCCCCCCTCAATATTTGTCTATATTGATTTTCCAATTTGCGTAGGTGGGTTTGAAGATAGGTCAGATCCGCACAATCCCTCAAAAAGCAGTGAAACAGCAGACCAAGGTATAGACACTTTTAATTTGACCTTCCTACCAGTAATCTAAAATATTACAATACATTGCCTTGTACGCATACAAGCTTTGAGAAGTCTTGTAATACTATTGCCGACACCCTTATGGTGGACCATACCATTGACGTCAGCCTAACATCTCGACAAGTTGCCTCATTCCCGAAACTGCTGGCTCATAATCACAATAAAATTGATGCTCGTTGATGGAGTGGCTAATGTAAGTAGTTTGCGTTGAAGCTAATTTAATAAAAAATGATTACCCACCGCGTTTCTGAATCAGAATATGTAGAATGTCAAAGGATAAATACGTATGATGGAAACAGGAGCACCATATTTGCTGAGCAAATTTGTACAAAAGCACTGTAACTCTCTAGTTTTGATTTAATTCATAGCCAACTCATTGCTGTCCACCTGCATCTGTTATCTATCTGTGGTGTTTCAAGGCATCTTTCTTTTTAAATCACATATGTGACCGCAGACAACATTGTGTGCGAAAGTGGATGGTGAATACTCTTTTAAAAAATGGCATTGTAATGTGGTTAAAAAGAGAGGAACAAACGAACTATCCTTCAAAGTAAATGACTGCGTATTCTGTAGTTACTGTAAAAGTAGTGAATGCAACACATATACTATGTATCTTTAGTATTAGAGCCTCAAAATCATAGGTAATAGATTGGATAATGCTGTTGTTTAAATGTTTTTTATTTTTTGCTTTACATGTGACAGAGACATATCTGACCTCATGGCGCTCACAGATAGATGCCCATAAGAACTGGCACCGTTGGGGTTGCAACGAGAGTTGACGAAGGCCACTAGGGAGTTGGGTGAAGTCCTGATCACTGTCTGCAGGTCAACGCTGGCATCAGACAGAGGTGAGATGGAAAGAGCTCTCTTTTTACTCAGCTTCAGCATGGAACGAGGTGTGGAGAACCTGGAGCCTGAAGGGGAACAGCAAGAACAGGAGGGCAAGCTTAAAGGATGCACGATTTATTGAGAAGAGACATAGAACGAGAGGGGCTTGTTAACTTACCATCACCTGAGCCAATTTGATCAGAACCAGGCAGAAAATGGCAGAAGTTGTGATGAGAGGATGTCATGTTGCTCTGGTTACAGTAGGGGGTGCTGTTGCCACCTGTTGAGCAAATATGACAGTGAAATGAACCACTGCACATATCCAGATTAACATCTTCTAAATTGGGAAAGCAGATTTATTGTTTTGTATTCATTGTGAATATGCTGATTGGTTAAGCAGGTATTGACTTGTAGGTTAGGACAACAGCAAGGAACACTAAAAATCTTATGACTAGATCTTCTGAAAAGAAATGAATGGTGTTTGAAGGTACCGGTAAGTGATATTTGCACAAAGGGTTTCTAACATGCATCTTCAGCATCCACACTAACTGCTTATTGTAAACAAATCAACAAACTGCAGACTTTAACCTGCATCAAAAAAATAGACACCTGGCATTGCAAGATACATACACACATATATTTTTTTAAATCCCAATAACATTGAACAACCGGCCTCTGTTCATAATTAATTTAGATTTGTTCATCATTGTTATCTAGACAACTTTTTAGTCTTCAGTCTACCTTGAGTAAACAGTAATTTAAATTTGTGTAAGCTGCTGCAGAGAAACAGACTGGTTGACTTGTATGTGAACGGAACAATTGTCCCTCTGTTGACTGCCGGTCATTCCTATTGTAGAAATCTTAGTCTTTGTTTTCTACTCACTATTTCGGTTGCCTTTAAGTCCAAATCAGTAGCAGCTGTTAGATTAAAGAGATGTAAAAGATACTCTGACTCACTCTCTGTGGGCGGCATGCCCCGGTGGCCCATGATACTGTGTGGTGGTGGGGCCTGTGGGGGCCTCATATATTGATCCATGCAGTGACCCATCCCCTGTCCTGGTCCTGATCCATGGGTCATACTGGGCGTCATGGGATTATACATTGAGCGGCAGTCCTGGGGAGGGCCGTTGAGGAGTGGGGCACGCAGAGAGGACACATCACTGTAGAGAGACTGGTCTGATGGAACTAGTCTGCAAGTATCAAAGACACACACAGTCATAAATATTAGAAATAACCTTGTATTAATGTGAAACATGGCCACTTCAAAAGGTCATGATGGAACCTGAAAAAACAGCACAATATAATGCATGTGCTTATTTCCGGTGTTCTGTAAATGTTTTAATAGATTAGAAAACTATTTTTGTGGTTGTTTTAACGGCTAAACAAATTCACACACAGTTTGCTGTATCATTCCTGGGCCCAAATAAGTGAGACATTTTTATGCCAGTTGAAAGGGAGGGTAATATAGCAATAGCAGTTTTAAGGCAGTTCAGACTTCAGCCTCAGGAGCATTACTTGGGGAGAAAAGGTACTCTTAGTTCAAACCTGCTTCAATATCTTGTGATGTCTTGTTCTTTCCACTAGGTGGGGTATGGCCCCCATCTCAGTCAACACTGTGGAAACTTACTCGTTTGGGTTTTCCCCGACCAACTAGAGAAGAGGAGCTTCATTGGAACTTTCCAGCCTTCTCATTGAATTTCAATGTTTTCTCTGACCTTTCTTCGGTCCTACTGGTTAGTTCGAAATCTGTCTCAGCTCTTCTTTTTCTCTGTCTCTCTGTCCCTCTCGCTGCTCTCCTAAGGGACCAACCTTCATCTACCCACCTTCTCCTAAGTCGTCCTTTCAGTTCTTTAATTCTTTCACCACAACGTGTATTCCACACAGGAGCTTAATCTGTCCTCTCTAATCCACTGTGCTGGTTCCCCCCAAATCTACCTCCCTCCCATTCTCACTCCTTTCTCCCTTTCCCTTCTCCCATTCATCTCTTCTGTTCTCCTTTTCTCCCTCTGTCCCCCTCTCTCTCTCAAACCCCTCTGTCCTTTTTGTCACTTTCTATCTGCTCTTCCCTTTTCTTCCTCCTCCTCCTCCTCCTCCTGCTCCACTGTCTCTCTCTGTTCTTTCCAGCCACCTTTCTCTCCATCTCTCTCTGTTTCTCCCTCACTCTGGGTAACCTGAGCGGGTCGCGAGGCAGTCATGCAGAGCGCAGCAGGGCCTGGTCAGCCTGTAATTAGCAGCTGTCAGAGAGAGGCCGAGTCCACCCGCAACCTGGGTGGCATGAGGAAGGGAGGGAGGGAGAGGGGGAGGAGTGAGGGGCTGAGCTAGTTCTGTGTCCGTAACAATTGCAGCAAGACCTGGGCTTCTGTTACCTCAGAATATCTGTGTGAATTCAAATAGAAAATTTTTATAGGATGACTTTTCATCCCTGCTTTCTAGACACTTTCTGCTGTGATTTGTGGTTGTTTGCTTGAGAAATGTCCTCTTGGCAAGTAGATGTAAAGGAAATAGCTGTGATTGTAATGCAGACAAACTGAGCTGACAAGAGCCATCTAATACTATACCATATCTCAGGAATTATTATTTTTTGCCTGATTTATGATAGCCTAAATTGGAGATTAGAAGTGAAAAAATGTCCTTCCAATAACTTTATTGACACATCATGACCCCCTGTAAAGTAACAGAAAACAACAGTTTGGGATTTTAGAGCTACACCTTTGCAACCAACAGACAGGTGAAGAGACCTCCAACAAGGCTTGTCCTTTTTGCAAGCTTTTTTTTTTAAATATCTAGGCTTGGGTGGACAACATGTCCAAGACCATATCGGTCAATATGTGCAACAGAAGCACTGAGGAAAACACTGAGCAAAAGAACACAGTACTATAAGTCATCAAAACGTCAACATGTAAACCAGCATTAATCTGCTGGCTCCATAAATTTACAGAGATTAACAGTCATTTTTAAGAAGTAATAATTATGTAAAACAAATATGCCAATTATTGCATCTTTTAGCGAAACTAATCATTCTTAAAAAAATCTTCTGGATTAACAAACTGCTCTTTAGATAAGTGGGAAAATAGGATGTCCACACAGTGTTACATTACATACTATATGGAAAAATTAAACTAATTAGTTAAAGTTGAAATGCAAGAATGATTTATTAACAATTATCGTCCCCATTTTGTTCTTTATGCTAAGATAGGCTAACTTTGTCCTTACTTCTGCTCTGGTTTTAACATTTAAATGTGAGAGAGGGCTTCACATCCTCTCATTTTACTCTGTAAAAAAAAAAAGAGACAAGAGTATATCTCAAAATGTTAACTTAAATATACACTATCAGTCAAATGTTTGGACACACCTGACTGAAAGGCATTTGTTATTATCTTAGAAATAGTGAAGTTGATGCCTACATATGTATGCATTTCTTTCCAAAACGAAAATAAAATGAAATATTGGATTTTTACGGTGTTAAAATCTTCTATTATTCAATAATGTGGAAAAATTGTAAAAAATAAAGAAAAACCCTTCTTCTGTAGGTGTAGGTGCCCTGGATACAGTGTGCAGTAGCTATATTATAATAATATAGTATACTATATGATTGATAATACTGCTACTGATGTGTGTTCAAACTTTTGACTGGTAGTGTAAAAAGTTACAGAATTTAACAAGTTGAAATTGTGTCCACAGAGTAATGAGCTTAGACGTTGTTCATGCAAACCCCTGTCTTACCCTCTGGAGGGCTGGCTGGGTGAGGTCTCATAGTGATACAGCCCCTGGTGTGGCTGCATGTCCACTGGCATTGGAGCTCTGAGGCCTGCTGCTCCCCTTACACCCTGGACCTGAAACACAAAGACAAGGACACGGTTAGGGTGAAGAGAGGACAACCAAACAAACCCAACCAAATGAAACTAAAGTAAACCAGAAAGAAAAAGCAAATAGACAAAAACAATGGTGGTTGAGGGGAGAAAAAGAATATGTAGGATGTTAATAACAGACAAAACCAAACAGAGACAAACAGCGTATGGGGAAAATAAGCTTTGTCTAAAAGCCTGAGTCATACTTGTTTTTAACAGAGCCGGTCCAAATCCATAACTTTAAAAAAAGCAATAAAAAAGAAAAGTAAATTTCGACCACATTGTCATTATAAATTACAGTAAAATACAGCAGAGGGAAGCAGTCATATTTTACTTAAAGCAGATGTTGAGAGGTGTTAAACCGGCTTAAACCATCATTATTTAGCAGAATTATGGGATAAATAAACATATATTTTTATTTGCTAAATTTTCCAGTACTATAGTCAGTCATGGAGGAATAAATCAACAACCTTTCTAAAAAACCTTTCTCATTCAATGACAATAACATCAAGAGTTAACTAAGCTTAAACAGGTGGTTTAAGTGTTAATATATCTCTAACTATAAGGGGGCAGTTTAACCTCCCTTTTTTGCAGTAAATGACCTTAAAAGTCACAGAAAAAAAGGTTCACCTTAAAAAACTCTTTTGCTGATAACGTTTATTGACAAATTATTTAAAGCTGTATATAGATGAATGAAATCAAACACCCATACGTTTTTTTGATTTCATAAAAGTAACGGTATTGTTTTCTTAAGGGCAATCTCCTTAGGAGTAGACTGAGAATCTGCACTAAAAGCCAACTCTACACTTAGTAATAAGGACTTGTTCACGTTATACAGACTTTAAAAGAAGCAGGTCATGTGAAGGTACTGATGTGCCCTGACTCAAGATTAGAAGAAAACCCTGTGACACAAATAGTGGGCTTGGCTGTAATCTCTCTTCTCTAAACAGAGCCTTGCACATCAAACGCTGATGATGACAGAAACTGAAAACCTGCCTCACCTTCCCATCCAGACAAGTATAGTGATCAATGCAGAAAAGACCTACAGAAGAAGAAAGTCTGGGTTTTGCCATAAAGCTTAAACGACAAAAAGATTTCTGAGAAAACGTTGAGAAAGATTATAGAATAACAAAACAGGCTGCTGTATGAAACTCATTTGGGGGTGGTGTCTTTCAGATAGAGTGCATGAGTAAAGAAATTCTAGCTGAGAGATCTTGGGAACAGACACCTGCTCATTACATCAAACCACATCAGTGCATGTAGTAATAGTCAGGACTTACATGGTTACATAGGTGATTAGGACCAAAAAAAAAACACTGTAAAAGCTGATGGCATATAAACACATAATTGGCTCTTCTCTGTTTGAGGATTCTGTGTGTTTTACTAAGTATACTACGCATGAATAGATCTTATCTATCCTAAGTGCTTTATAACCCAAATGCCACAAAGGAAAATGCCTGTTATTATTTTTTTCAAATGTAAAACGATACATGTTTTCCATATTTAGGCGCGTTGTAACGGTTTGTCATAAGACAGGATTTCCAGCATGGCGGCTGCCTCCCATGAGGGCCTCACAGGGCCTTAACAGGTGGATGTCGTCACTCAGGCTTTGTCCATTAATATTTACAGTCTATCTGTCCAACACAACATGTTGGCTCTGCACTTCAGTCCTTGCCAACTATTTGAAATCAAAATATGACATTACTGCCTTTCATGTGACAAGTGTCTAAAACTGGGAACGCTCCTGTCACTGCAGATTGGATCCCTGTGGTTTGAGTTAACAGGTTGCCATGCCTGTTATGTAGTAGCAGAAGTGTTAAAAGGGCAACAGGGACCTATTTAAGCCCACAAGCCACCAGTGGGATTTGATACGTAAAGTTAGCGAGAAGCTAAATGATGTGGGCGGTCCAGGGGATAATTGCACACATTCAGTGCCGGCTTCAGATGTGTGTATGATAATTAGCCGGAAGTGCTAAATAGAGATCTCGCCGAGCGCCTCAGCTGTCCAAAACTAATAAATACCAAGAAGGGGGTCGCCAGACTGCCTGACACATACATACACACACACTGACACACCTGTCAGTCTCACCAGGGGGCAGCTTAATAATCCAGTGGCCACCATGTCTACAGAGAATTTGTGTGTGTGTGTGTGTGTAAGCCCAGTGGCAGGTGTGTATGAGAAGTGAGTTTTGGAGACAAGTGTATTTGCTGTGCAGTGTGTGTGTGTGTGTGTGTGTGTGTGTGTGTGTGTGTGTGTGTGTGTGTGTGTGTGTGTGTGTGTGTGTGTGTGTGTGTGTGTGTGTGTGTGTGTGTGTGTGTGTGTGTGTGTGTGTAAATCAGAGGGAGTGTGTTAGACGTTCTAAATGACAGTTTATCTCAGAGTAAGAGTGAATAACTTATGAGACCACCTGAGCATACATAAGCTGGACGTTTTTGAAAAATATTTTTGCGAGTGTTACTCCAGGGAGCAAGCCAGCAAGTGAGTTGAGTGTGTGAGAGTTACTGTTGTATCGGCATGCACACACACCCCAAAGTGTGTTATGTAATAAATTTGTGTGGTACATAGCTTAGGCAGTGGATTACTGTAAAGTATGTGCAAATGTAGAATTAGTCAACAGAAATCAGTTTCTTTAGCCTGGACATCCTGGTCTTATAGAATGTACATTCAATAAGTAAATATACAAAGGAAATATGTAATGAATATATCTTCCATCAATAAAGTTGCAAAAAATGGGTTGCAGTTAAAAGCTTTGAAAAACTTACTAATTACATATTTCATATGTTTCAATGAAAATATCAACTCATAGTTGAGTAGAAGGAGTTGCACAAGACACAACCCAACTTCCCAAACAAATAAGGGAGCACCCCACCACAGCCATTTTGGACACCCTTCGGTTTGCCAGATTTGAGACCAGTTATCAGGTCAAACCAACAGGTGTTACAGGGTTGGAAACAGACAAGCGATAAAAGCCTCAACCATTATTCAAATAAGCTCCACGACCAGAAACATGGTAAAACTAGGATAAATATTGGAGATGCTTTTGAAAAATGGAGAAAAGTTAGAACGCAGAAAGGTTTTAAGTCTGATACAGAGCTTTCAAAACTCTGAAGCTTCCATGGCAACCTGCATGGGCATCAGCTCTTGGGAGGAGGGGGCAGGGGGAGGCAGCTCCAATGTTTTGAATTTAGACAGCAGTACCAATTTGTTATTTATTGCTCCTTTAACTGATACTTTGTACATACGCATACACACACACACACACACACACACACACACATACACACACACACACACACACACACACACACACACACACATACATACACACACACACACACACACACACACACACACACCTATTTTTATGCATCTACAACACTTGCTTATAAACATAATAAGATAATGCTGTATCGTAATGTTTTTCTTTGTTTTCCTGATTCATTTCAGGTATTAAAACTACAGCAACAAACGAGAAATATACATCTTAAAAATACAATTTTGTTTATATATGCATCAATATGTATACATGCATGTATGGAAATGTATTTGTGTGTAGTGCTCAAAAACTTTGAGATGGGTAATTCCAATGTGCATGGTGCTGACACAGGTGTCGTGGTATTGTAGTAATAATAATAATAATAATAGTAATGATACATTTTATTTATAACGCACTTTACATTTAAAGCAAATCTCAATGTACTATTTTAGCTCAATATTTTGTGAGAAGCTCTCAGAGAGTTTGTCCCCAGTGTAATTTTGTGGTGCTAGGTTTTGGAGGGATGGGGCAGAGGCATATTAAAAACCCCAAGGCCATAAATCAAACGGCTAACTAAACAAGTCTTCTCCACTGCGGCACAGAGAGCTGGGCAGGAACCAAGTAGTTGAGGACAGGATGTCCAGCCACTTTCTAAACCCAAAGCATCCCTGTTTAAACAGTCCATGTTCACAGTCCTGTAATGTCACCAACCCATACAATAGGCCACATCTCTTTTCTCTAAAGGGACCTTTCTAATATCACCAATTAAGCATAGCTCCAACATACTGTACTACTTCTCCAACTATACAAACTCAGAATGTCTTTTTAAAGTCCCTGCTTGACAATGAACTAAATAACTGGATATTTTAAACAAGCCAAAAGAGCCGTGTCTGTGGTCTAGTGAAATACATTTCCATTCCGGCCTTCCCACTTTACTAACCAACATTTCAAACCACCAATAAATAAAAAAGGGTTTTGTAACTCTAATGGACCATCACTCATCAGGAACCCAACCACTGCACTGTGAAAACCAATTACATCAGCAGATATTACATATTAATCAACCTACAATAATCATTTTTATACAAGTGATGTATTACCTATATTACTTTAATTAAATACACATTTTATTTTTATTGTTCTGCCTTAATGGGTCTCATGTGACCAGTAGCTTCCAGTCCCTAAAGTTAACAAATGTAAAGTCAGTGTGCACTATTTTATATTTTGTTTTGACAAAAAAATTTAGTACAACATTGCAGTGCGTAATTGAGTTCAAAATAGCACTCAATTACTCTACTTAAGTTCAACATTTTGGTATTTGGATGCTCAGGTACTTTAGTGTACAGTATCTGGTTTATCCTATAGTATACAGTGTTTTGACCTCATTACAATTTGTCAAACAGTTTTCAACCTTTTATTCCACTTTATTTATGTATATATTTATATGAAGAATGGACTTCTTCTGATTTTTCAAAGTGTTTTTTACACTGCAGGTCACACTTACACATTCACACCACATTCACACATGATGGCAGAGGCTGCTCTGTAAAGTGTCCATCACTATTCCATCAATCCCATTTGGTAAATCAAGTAATCGCATTCGTATACATTCACTTTATGTAGCAGTGGGAGCAATTTCTTCAGTGTCTTGCTCAAGGACACTTTGACAAGTGACTGATGAGCTGGGGATCGAAACCCCTGACTTCCCTGTTGAGTAGGAACTGACTC